CATGCCTACTTTACTTCTAAATACTCAACGTATTTGTATGGCGTATCGTATTTGATTGATTGGTATATCTGTTGTACAATCGATTTCTATCAAAACAAACATTCAGTTGAAAAGAAACATAGAGTGATTTCACCGTTCCACCTTACCGTTTATACTCTCAGTGGTCTCAGTGGTTTTGCCGTGGGATTACTTTTGCAGGATTTTCATGTCAGGATTAAATTGGTCAGGATAATTCTTTTCGGGATTTTTTTTTCCAGGATCAAATTGTTCAGGATAATTTTTTTCTGGATTTTTTAACCAGGATTAATTTGTTCAGGATCAACTTTCCGGGATTAAATGACATGTAACCTGATTCAAGAATTAGTTTCCTGAATAGTCTGTGCATTCTCAGCCCACAGAATTCCTCACCCTTCTATTCGATCAATAATATTTGAAATCCTGGATTCCATTTCACCCTTTTACTGGTGTTTCCGAATAGATATGAAATATCGTCTCAATTTTGCTTGTAAAATACTACAGGGTGTCCCATAGCATGTGACCAAGGTAAATTGCAAATAAGTTGGATACAGTAAAATGTAAATAATTGTTCTTTTTTTATTGTACAAGGAACATTCGGCAAATTACAATACAATTCCTTCCAAGTATCCGCCATCACTTGTACTACAGAACTCTATCCTGCGTTCGAAACTGGTATAGAAGCGCTGTATTGTGTTTTTATCAACAGCTCGGATAGCATCCCTAATTGCGTCTTGCAACTCTCCCACCATCGTCGGATACTTCTCATAGCACTTGTCCTTGAGAAAACCCCATAGGTAAAAATCGCAGGGATTTAAGTCCGGACTGTAAGGCGGCCATTCCATGCCCCCATGGGCATACTTAGGGTAACCTAAGCCTAACACACGAGTGCCGTAAACGCAAAAAACTATTTCAAATACAGCAGCAATCCTGTATGGGGTGGCATCATCTTGCATGAAGTAGAAATTCTTGACTAACTGATTTTTTCGTGCCCAAGGAAAGAAGGTTTTCTTCAAGAACTCACAGTAAATATCAACACTAATTTTCGGACTCTTAATAAATTCAAGGAAAATACCTTTTATTGTAATTGCCGCCCACGCAGTGACTTTTTTCGGGTGTGAGGACTTAGTTTCAATAACTTGAGGGGACTCAGTCTCCCAAAAGCGAAAATTTTGTTTATTTACTAAGCCACCTAAGTAGAAATGTGCTTCGTACGAGAAGATGATATTCTGTGCCTTTATTTCATTGGATTCACAAAAATTGTGAAGTTCTTGGCAAAATTGCACAGGACGAGCCATCGCCTCCTCACTTAAAAATTGATGTGCAGAAATTTTGTAGGGATGGAAGTTTAAAAAGACTTTCAAGATGCGGTGAAGTGAAGTTTTTGACACTTTCAAGGTTTGAGAAGCCTTTCGAAGAGTATCATTTGGATATTTTTTAAAACGTTCTTTAGTTGTGCGTACAACTTCATCCGTGGTTACAGTACATGAAGGACCAGGATGCTCATGCCTTCTATCGCCTAGTGTACTTTACTGATCAAATTTCTTAATTATCCTGAAAATACCCATAATTGGTCGAAAAATGCGTCAATTTTCAATAAAAGAAGACAACACAATTTTTTGGTTAGTTAGTTCTTTCACTTTATTTACCGTTTGAGACTCGAATCAGACACTCCAGTGTGTGTGCCATACTTAGAATGAAATGTTCTTATAGCTGCAGTAGCTGAATCTCCATTTCGGTAATATTATTTGATGAGAAATGATTTTTGTTCGATGGTTAAATTTTCCATTTTAGTGCTGCGATTCCCGAGCGACTGAAGCATGAATGAAATTTGCGGAGAGTCTCCACTTCAACCATATATTAGACTTTAGACTGCACTGCCACCTTGCGGTATTCTACGCAATTTACTTTGGTCACATGCTATGGGACACCCTGTAGGTGTTGAACTCAATTTCCTCCGTTTTTACATAAAAAAATGAAAAAAATATTTAAATTCAACAGTACATCATATTGTATTCATACGGTTGTGCTTCAGAAGCTACGATCTTTTCACATCTTTGAGGCAACAAATGGATTACACGCCAGTAGAAATCTTTCCTTCCTTAGACGATCCATTTCTCGATATCTTTAAGGAAATTGAGTTCCTATGAAAACAAATTATTTCGGAATCTTCGAAACCGATGGTAATCAGACGATACTATATCTAGTGGATATAGTGGCCGCAGTGATTCTATTTTATCTTCTTAATCCTTCTTTTACGTGTTCTGTTACGTGGGGACGAGCATTGTCATGAAGCAGAACTAGTTTGTAATTACGTTTAGCATATTTTGGCTATTTCATTTTCAAATTTGGATTTTATTTCATTAATTGATGTTAATAACGAACAGCTGCGATTGTTTCAATGGTTTTAGTAATCCATGATAGACCTTAGAACTTACATTGGGTATATAAATTAATTCTCGGCCCCTAGATTAAATTGATCATAACACCTATTTGAATTAAAAGAATTCCCCGCAATAAACGGCGTTTTGAAGCGCCATCTGTGAACTATCAAACTACATAAGTTCGATTGTGGTGTGATTAACACAACCTCAAAAAATATAGTGAATAACAATGTCGTTTGACAAGCAGCACTTGAGGCAATGCCTTCTTTTCACCTTCCAACTTGGAAAAACTGACGCAGAAGCACAAGAAATGATTCGTTCGACCTTGGGAGAGAGTGCTGCATCTTATAGCACATTTAAAAAGTGGTTTAAAAAATTTCGGGATGGAAATTTTGATCTCCAGGATAAGTACGTCCTGGGCAACCAAAAAAAGTTGAGGACGAGGAATTGGACAACTTACTCAATGAAAAGCCCTGTCAAACACAACAGGAGCTTGCTGATACTCTTAGAGTAACTTAACTGGCTGTTTCGGTGCATTTAAAAAGAAGTGGGAGGATACAGAAGGAAGTTCGTTGGGTGCCCCATCATCTTACCTCAGAAAACAAAAGTCGACGCTGTGAAATTGCAAATCTGCCTACCGACCAGATTCAAGCAAAAAGACTTTTTACATAAAATTGTGACGGGGATGAAAAGTGGATATTTTACGACAATCCTAAGAGGCGAAAGTCGTGGGTTTATCCGAGAGAGTCGTCAACGAGCACTGCGAAACCGAACATTCACGGGAAAAAATTGTGGTTGTGTATTTGGTGGGATTCCAAAGGTGTAATCTATTATGAGATACTCGAACAGGGGGAAACTGTCACTGCTAAGCGTTATCAGGACCAACTGGTGAAATTGAGTGATGCTATTGAGGAAAAGATATCTTTTACTGGTAGTGGTCCGAGGCAAGTGATTTTACTGCAGAACAACGCGCGACCACACGGTAAAAGAAACCCTGAAAGTTATCTCCACGTTGGGCTGGGAAATTCTCCCACATGCGGTGTATTCTCTAGACCTTGCGCTTTCTGACTATCACCTTTTTCAGGCGCTACAACATCACCTGGCAGATACCCAGTTTCGATCTCCTCAAGAAGTCCGGCAGAGCATTGATGACTTGATCTTTCTTCCGAGCCGGAATCCGACAATTGCTCGATAGATAGGAGAAATGCGTGCAAAGTGCGGGTGATTATTTTCAAGGTTGGATCTATATTCATTTTTTTATAAATAAATGTCAGAGTTGTTGAAAAAAGGCCGAGAATTAATTTATACACCTAATAAAATAGAATTTGTGTAATTCCCGGTAGCTTAGTTGGGAAAGTGCCTAGTGCGTAACTGCGCTCCGGGGGTTTGAATCGCGGCTGAGTGGTATGGGATTTTTTCTCTCGATATTCGAATTTTTTTTATATAGTGAATGCCTAAAACTAGTTAGGCGGTGTTCTGAGGTGAATTTGGAGCGAAAATTTCCGTAGTTCCTTGTAGTTTAGTTAGGAGAGTGCCCGGCGCGTATCTGGGAGACCCCGGTTCAAACTTTGGAGTATATTTTTTCTAAAATTAAGTGGATTTTGGTTTAAAATTGATCCTAATTTTGATCATTAATTTTAAATATTTTTTTTCTAAAACTTGGAAAATTTTTTCTGGATTTTCGAAAAGTCAAGGTTAGAAACCATGGTTTCTAAAATTTAAAAACTTTTTTTAACGCTATCCCCCTTTTTTCTCTGTGTTCTTAACCAAACTATTTTCTGATTAGAATCACGAGCTTGAAACGATAATTCACGTTTATTTGCTTGAGGTATCGATCTTCACTTGATTTCCTTATATACTACGTCAATTTTTCAAGTTCGAAAACGTGTGCTTTACTGGAAGAAAAAATTGTCTTGAAGATCCATATCAAAGAAAGAATTTCTATCACCCTTATGAAAACGAAAGTGTGGAAATTTTCTCAAAATTCGTAAATAATCAAACGATTATGATGAAAGTTTTATGTCCATATGAAAGCCTGCAATTCCAGATCTGATAAAACATTTGCATCACGTTCTACGAGAGCAGTGAATTATTTATGGATATGGAAACACATCAAATGCCTAAAGTGTTCCATGAATAGCCATCTCACCCTAACATAGAAACCAGAAGTGACAAAAGACCCTTTCCATCCATACATTACGAATATCATCTTCATTATTACAAGAATCCTAAGAATGCGACTTCAACCCTGAATATCACAATGTTGATAGATAACATCTTCCTTATAATCCATCAATCCTGATGAAGTCAGAAAATACATCGGGCTTTGATAGTAAAGCTGAGATAGTTCGAAGGATTTGAAATTAATACCCTCCCCACTGAACCTGGAAAAGCTCGATGTTGATACCATCCTTGTTGTTGATACTACTGCACCGCACATTTCCCGCCCATTTCTGTCACGCCCTCATATATAATTAACCAGCGCCTCTCTTCTAACGTGCGTTGCAATTCACCTAGTGGGTACGTTTAATCTGCAAATGATCTGCTTTATGAAAATCTTGTATCCGTGAGAATTCAGTGTATATGTTGATGTGCTTACAGGTGGAGCTGTAACCTGTCTACGTAATTTTCGCACGGATTTTTTAGAAGAATGGCCAACACCTGGTACTGGGCCACACTTCGATACTTCGATGCCCTCAAATTTCACTGGCCTCGTTGGTAACACTGTTGACCTCGTTTGCAAAGTCAAGAATCTCGGTAATCGTACGGTAAGTTGACTTTATCTCTTTGTTTTTTCTTTATACATTGACAGAAACTAAAAGTAAGTAACTTCATCATGAATATCTTTTTTGCTTCCGAATGGAAGCAAAGAAGTCGTTCATTTTTTGCATTTTTCAATTTCGCTTGGAAAAGATGTAAAAAGGTATGAAACGTAAAAATTCGAATTATGACGACCATGTGTGTATGTACAGATGTCTACTTCGTGGTCACTTTCCAGAAAATCAAATAATTTAATGGCGGATAATAGAGCAAAAATTATAAAATTTCGTGAGATTGTAGGTATCAATGAGGTCCTCCCGTTCAGCCCAATTTCACACCGATCGACCTCGCTATTGTGAGAAATCACCATATTTCTAATGTATTTCGCAACTGTCGCGATAACCATTCCACCTATTTCTCTTTTTTTTCAGAATACTCGACTCAGTATCTTCTGTTCATGTGTACCCGTCATACAAAGTTTTCAAGATATTTTTAGTTTTCTGTTTTTCACTCAAAATGCTCTACTCTAATGCTCTATGCATACTCTAATTTTTCAAAGCTTAGAGATACTCGCTTGAAGTTTGGCGTCGAGTTTCCTCTTATGCTTGCAACGGTTCGTATTGAAAACGGGTTGAATTGAATGATTAGATCGGAAGATATTCGACTTTGTATGTCAATCTATCTCCTTCAACATCTTGAAAATTATTAAATCGATTTGATTGCGCCCATACGAACCTATCGAATGAAAAAATCGAATCATTTGAAAGCTTGTCATCAATTAATTCATGGAAAAAAATAGATAAATAGACTCATAAGTAGAAAATCTCCAATAACCTGCTAACTGTCATATGCTGCCTATTACCTGTTTGTTTTATTTTCATTCAATAATCTGAAGAAAAACCTGGTCTTTTTGATCGTCTATTTTCTTCGCTGACATGAAAGAAAGAAAATTTATGCGCTTCTTTGGAAGCACAGACGTCTTTTCAATTTGTGCATGTGTTCCTCACTTTATTCAACTTTCTCCTCTATCCCCCATTCAAAAAGTTAGTAATTTTAATATACGAATTTAATAAAGAAAATGAAAAAAGTAGAGATCTCTGAAATTATTTATTTTCTCCAGCAAAAAATCCTTTCAGCTCTGACTAACCGAGTTAATACCCTGGTGCTTGAAACCACGTTTGAAAACCTCTCTCTCCCGTGGATTTTTCGGCATTTCCTGGCCAATTCCAGTACAACATTGCAGCAGGAAAGCATGAGACTTTTAACCGCACCCCTTAGAACGTGAGATTTCCGACCATAAAATACGTCCCTGATAATTTTTAAATAAAAATCATATCAGGTTTTATATACCTAGATTTTCTTCAACGATTCATTGTACTGATAGAAGAATTTATTTATAATGAACCTATTATATCTGTCGAATATTTCTTTACATTCGTTTGCCAATGACAGTTATTTCTCAACACTAGTTGATGTAGAGTTATCAACACCATTATTTTCACCCCCACGACAACCAGAGGAGGGGTACATGTATTTGACTACAGCTGGCTCTATTCCCGCAAATATCTAAAGTAGCCCAACTCCCAACAAAAGCTAAGATTTTAAGGATGGGTTGTAGCACACTGGTTGGAATGTCAATCATCCTGATCAATTGGTAATTAGCAAAAAGGAAATCATTCACTAAGATGGTCAAACTGCTTACAACACTCCTTAGGTGAAGCGAACAAAAAATGTGTTGGTACCAAATCGACATATAATACCTAGACTGTGAATTCTCTATGGGCCAGTTTGTTCAACTTCCAATAGCTTTAAAGTAGCTTTAACAATTGAACTATCCTTTAACTGTGATTAAACCCATCTGACCCTCATGGTTTCCCTTATAAATTTGGTGTTATCAGATTGACCGTTATGAAATTCGAGCTTATTATTCGTTCTAAACTCGAATTAGATGGAGGAGACAATGTTTCCATGTTAATTCCTTCATCGCAAGGAAGAAAAAACTAAATTTTCAAAAAATCAACCTCCTTAATTTTTAATATTCTTCAATGAATTGTTTTTTAAATGTTTGTGTGAAAAACAACTTTTTGAAAAAAAATCAACAAGGAGATCCCTAGCATCCACTTTTTTATTTGAGGACAATTAATCTCCATTTTTCTGTATTTTCAGCAAAATGTTTAATTAAACTATTAAAATGCAATCAACCACTGCGAAGAAATAACTTTAATTGACGCCGAAATATTCGTCAATTTAGTGATAATTTTTGATCAAAATTTTATATAAAAAAAAGAGGTTTTTGAGATATTGTCACTGAAAAAACAATACGTGTTGCCATATAAAGCCCCTGAAACAAGATGAAATAGCACGTGTCACCGCTGAAGATTTTTGGCCTTGCATTTTGGTTTTTGTTTTTATTTTGAGTTTTCGGCCTCCCTCCCGTGTGTTACTCCCTAGACTCCCTGGAATCAAGCCGATTGTGGCGTACCACGTTTCTTCTTGAAATAATCCACTTTTCTGCTTATATTAGGCCCGAAATTCAGATTGATAGAGTCCGAGTCACTCGACTTAGTATAGGTGTAACATCGACTAGAATCAAAGCGACGTCGCCTTGAATCAGTACGTTTCTATGTGCAGTATTTTAGGCCGAATTTATTTTCTTACTGTTGATATTTCACTTTTGTGATTGGGATACACTAAACGTAAAGCATCACCATAAAGTAGTTCATTGTTCTTTGTGGAAGCCGTAAAAACACGATCAATTTATCCCGCTTTCTTTTTGTTCTTTCATAAAAAGCTCCTTATCCCAATGTTCCAACGTACACGGTACTTGCAACAAAACGATAACTCGAGAGAATGGATCAATTTCGTTCCGAACCTTATATTCCCAACAGGAGAATACCAATGGGGTCTGGAAGCATGCGGAAGGAAAGCACCTCACCTTTCCCGTGGCTGGAAAGTACATCGAGTGTATTTCTGTATTTTTCGATCAACTGTCATGGCGAGTACCACTCCACAGGGCATTGGAAATCCTTACGTCGCATATCCTCAGTCTATTCTTATTTTTCTCACATTCACCGTTGGTACCATCCAAACTCACTTCTTTCGACTGCTTCTTTTTCGTCCTCACTTCTCCTTTGCCCTTGTTTTTACGGCTTTTTGCCGCTCCCAATGGGGAATTGAGTAATCTACAATTGTTGAATTATCAATAAATCCAAATAAGAATCTTGATTCACTGGATTTCCCTATGAAAAACAGATAATATATGAATGGAAATACAACAGATAGGTCGTGTCAAACATGAAGAAAATTCGGATGTACATTTCACTGACCTCAATAGAGAAGATTTTTGATTATTTTCACAGTTGTGCACTCGTACGTTCTACCCTGTGGGTGGTAGTTCAAATATATCATGTGCGACTCGATGAAGCTTTTGGTGCAGCGATTGAGCCCGTTGCCAAAAAAAATATTCCATCGGGGCCTTTATTTTTTTCCAACAAAACAGTTAGAGAAAACAATACATTCGTTTCACATCACTTTTATAGCAGATAGCAGATACACCATCCTATGGTTCATGTATACCGAATAAAATAAATCTACATAGCGTACGGGTAAAAGGGGAAGGGATGAGGCTGAAAAAAATATCCTCTAAAACTTTCATGTAACTGGAAAGCCATCGTATTGGGAAAATCAATGCCCAGGATGGTTGCCAAGACTCAAATTGGCACGTGTTTGCGGAAGGATTTGTATATTTGGGGTGAGAGATCAGGTGCTGTATGAAATTGCTTGAGATAAACACATTTTCATTCTATCCTGTGAGATTGTATATTCTATTTTGATATTCCCTAGGTCACATGAATTATTGTTTCACTATTTCGGGTTACTGGGGTATCGACATTGGACTAGGATGGCTTTTTCTTTCTTCTCCCTTCCCCGACCCCTTTATTTCAGAAGCAATGGGTAAATTCGACGGAGGTGCACCGGGTGTCAGAGGGTAACGTGGGTAGTTGTAGGATGAGATCGATAAATCGCAGGTACGCTTCGGGATACCATTAATCTCTGGTCTCTAACCGAGCGATGGAAGTACCCACACCTCCATGAGAGGACAGGTTTGAAGCTAGCGTGAGAACCAGGAAAATCAATAATGCGCACCGCTCCCAAAGTATCCAGTGTATCTCGATGCATATTTGCACGAGTTTTGTGCATCATAAGGGAAAGTTGGATTTTATTGGTTGTAAACTTAAGGCGAAGGCGCCATGTTTTCATGCAAAATTTCCTGAAGGAAGGGGAAAGTTGATAACACAGTTGTAATCGTAATTGGAAATAACTTAGTTAATGGATTAATGAACGATTGTTGTAATTTTTCAATAGGTATCTTGGGTGAGACATCGGGATATACACTTGTTGACAGTTGGTCGTTATACTTACACCAGTGATCAACGCTTCGAGGCCCAACATTTTCCACACACGGAGGAGTGGACTCTGAGAATTCGTTATCCACAACGCAAGGACTCGGGTTTTTACGAGTGCCAAATATCAACAACACCCCCCATTGGGCATCCAGTTTTTCTGACTGTAGTTGGTGAGTGAATAACGTTATTGAAGCTTCCTCCTGTGACGTAGTAAATTTCCCATTGCTTCTAATCGAGTTGCCGTCCGGCTAAAATTGCTATGCACTGTGTCCGTTACCTGAGAGTTTGTTTGAAATGCGAAGGACACGGAAGGACTTATACAGGTTCTTCTCAATAATCTAGGAACAATTAACAATGGTTGGAAGTAATTTGCTGGAACCAATGATTCATTACGAAAAATAAAAACAATAACTCCCCTATCGGGAAGTTAATTAAGAATGTGTCCGCTCATGTTCACGTAATCAAAACTGGCAGGTAGTGCGGACATGTGGTCGAAATGGAGGCCCCCGAGCACTATACAAGAGTCTGAAAGCTATTATACAAGAGTCTGAAAGCTATTACTAGTCTAAAATTATCAATAAACTTCCTCATAATTTTCAGTCCTTGATACAATTTTGTTCTGTCACTGATATACCTATTATACTATCAATTTTTTTTTTTTAATCGGAGTTGCATTACTGTATGATACCTTACACTTTATATTTTGTCCTGATAAGTCTCCTACGATTTCGACCATCAATAATTATTAAACCGACGTTCAATTTCTGTATACGTCAAAGTGGTTTGACATCACATCTCTGTTATTTCACATTTTGTTCATATTGTAGAATGTATAATAGATGATCTATCAATGATAAAGCTGCAGCAACCAGTACAGAAAAGAACGTGACAACTTAATTGATTTCTCCTGCTCCTGTAATCAACGTTAGAAACCACTCCAAACATATCCCATTCCAACAGCAAAATGTTTAGCCTTTTGTTTTCCCCCACAATTCTAACGAATGATCAAATACTTTAAAGCTTGACTCAAAAGCCTGAGCCACTCAACCATTAACATGAGAACATACAACGCATGAGATGATTTACATCGGCATCTACCTAAAACCCTTCAGAAACCGTATTGTCAACCATCAGCACAATGAACCTGATGCACGTTCAAATAACACACTCATGTATGGGTGTATGTATATGTTTCAGAGCCCGTGACCATTATAGTAGGAGAACCCGATCTTTTTGTGAATAAAGGCAGCACTATCAACCTGACCTGCCTCGTCAAATACGCCCCAGATCCACCCCCAACGATGATTTGGCGTCACAATAGCGAGGTGAGTTCTTTAGCTAAACTGCAGTGTCATCGCGCTCTCCACACAGTGAAGAGTGACAAGACGTAGAGCGTGAAGGGCTAATCTTCCGGCGTCAACCAAGAACAATGAATCTTTTTTAGTGGACAGTGGGAAGTTGTCCTTTATGTGAGCGATAAGAATTGGACTATTGCACAAGTTATTTCGTGAATAGACAGTTTCAGTTATGTTTGCAACTTATATATGCGGCATCCAATCCACTTAGTTTTAATTTAAACACGGAGCGCAGAAATAAGTATGTTTGTCATATTCTTTTTCTAATATAACTGTGCATCATATGAAAGGTTGATAAAGATTATGGGATTGATGCCTTAATTGATCGGACTTATCAGAATTGGTTTTCTAAATTTCGTTTAAGGTATTTTTCACTCGAGGATGATCCATGCGCCGATCAGCCAATAGTAGTTGATGATGTAAAAAGCAAAGTTTTAATCGAATCTGATTGCCACATTTCAGTGTAGGCGAGGTAGTGCGTGTACCACTAAGCGGGTAATTCTGCCAACCCGTATTTTTCAAAAATGGCTGAGAAAATTTTTTTTCTTCTTTTATTATTCAAATATATAATGACAAGAAGTAATTTTAATAGAAATTTTGAATTTCGTCACGTGGAAAGAACATATAATGTATTCCCAACCTAGGGAGGGAAAATAAAGGAGTCGTGCCCATGTCCAGAATTACTACCCGAGCCAAAGGCGAGGGTGGTAAGCGCGTGGGTACGACTCCTTTATTTTACCTCCCGTGGTTAGAACGTTATTTTTCGTCACGGCGTAGCCGTAATGTTAGATTTTCCTTTCGCGAAACGGGAGGAAAATGTGCACTTTGCGCCCGCCATAGCGGAAAAGAAATCCAATTCATTTCCTACCGAATACTTAAAATATATCACCTTCAGGATTTAAGGTTTTACAAATTTTCAATTGGTTCATAATTGAATGGAGTGCGAAAAATATATTTACGTCACTGAGGCTCGGTTGGGAGGGGGTAAATGGCGTTTAACACTGCAGTTCTATAATCGGTGATCCAAGGATGGTAAGTGGAGGTCCAGGTATGGTATGTCCCACTTACACCAGAGGACTGATAAAGCGTGACGTGAAGTGAGCTGATCAAATCGTCACTTGGGCATGCGCTCTGCGTTCGGGAAAATGTATAGTCTAGTAAGATTTACAGTGCCCTTAGCGGCCTTCTTTGTAACCTAACTCGCCGGTAATAAAAGTGGCAGTCGCCATATTGCTGTTGTGCGTCGTTGTACATTGGATGACTGTTCAGGAGAAAATTGTGACGAAATTCGGGGAAAAATAAAAGAAAATGTAGAATTTTATTGTCCCAGATAATGATGAAAGCGATCAGGAAGGACTGTCTCATGACATGTTTAGTAATACGGACATTGAAAGCTCAACATCCAGCATGTCAGTGAATGCAAACTCTTTCAATGACTGGTGTTAACGCATAGAACATTCCCTAAGACGTTCTGGATCACGCTAGGAAGGCTCAATCTATCCTCATACCGCCAGCATCAAAACCAATTTATGATCGAACCTACCACAAGTTTTAGAATTTTCTGAAGGAAAAACGTATCATCCCTTGTCCTTGATATCTCTTCTTATTCGATGCCGGGTCTGAGATCTGTGGAATGAGCGAGCGATGAGTGAGATGCGAATGGGTTTTTACGGGAGCGTGAGAGGGTCCACAAATCACCACACGTGCAGGTTGGTCAACTCAGTCAATTCAATAAATGAAAGTCAAAAAATACACTGATATAGACAGCAGAAATGAACAAAAGTTTATGTGCGGATCAACTAATAATTTAGAAGCGATGAACAACTAAACTATTATGCGGAGCAATTAATAAAGCGTCAAGCAAAAGAGCGTAGCAAAAAGCGCGTGCACTAGTCAACGGACGTTATGCAAAATGAGAGTCGATTTATAGACCACGAGGTGGCAGGTGACGAAAATCCAAAGGTGTGAACGTGACCCAATTTAAATGGGGGCGTTCACTGGACACCTGTCCATCAAGTGGCGCCTCAAGTGTCAGAGATGAGAGGCCACTGGTCATCTGAGGCGAGTACGTCGGTCAACTGTGCGTAGGCCATGCACGCATGCGAGTGAAGTGAGTGTACGTGAGTGTGTGCGTATGTGTGTGGAGTAAATTATTCGGCGGAAAACCGAACACTTCTTATTTTTTAATTTCGATGCAATTTTTTTTTGCAAGTCCAAAATTTTCATCAACAACCCCATGTTTTTGAGTCATAACGATTTCAGTTTTTTTCTATTTTTCTTCTATTGTTTTTCTTTATTTCTTCAGTGGGGGGGCTTCCCCCCCAATCCCCCCAATCGGGAGACTTCGTCCTCCTGGACCCTCTCCCGCACCCTCTCCCACTCACCCCTCATCGGGCCTTCGTGACGAAAAATAATGTATGTAATTCAGGCGATAGCGCTGGTTCGTGAGTCGTGTAAAATTTGCAGCACGAGGCGTGGTAAGTCGGAGACGAGGCTCGTGCTGCAAACTTCACACTCCTCACAAACCGCCACTTATCGCCCTCATTACATAATGTACTATTAGAATGAGATTAAGGGATATCAGAAATCACTTTAGTTCTTTGATATTTATCCATTCTCATGTAAGATTTTCCCCTCATATTTTCTTCTGCATTCATTATTCCTCAGAGATATTAAAAAGATAGGTAATGAAGAAAAAATTCAGACTTCTCTCTAATTTGAGTGAAAATTCCATTTGCAAACTATTTTTGATAAATATCCCGAAATCTATGGAAGATGGCGAAATTTTAATGAATTACGTTTTTGTGGAACATTTCCTGAGCTACCAAAATGTTTTGTTTGGTGAATGACTAGCTTTAGGGTGGATGTGGGATGAAAATGTGGAGGGAGATGTTGGGAAAATTACTGATGAGCCGGACTTAAAATATCACACTTTATTTTGTGGGATCGAACCACTTTGTCAAAACTATTTACACTCTTTGGTAATTTAATTCTTGAATGTCTAATTATACTGATAATTGTCTTTCACTGTTAATTCGTTGAGTCACTGAATTTAGACTGGATTTAATCAACAGAGGTGATGTACTGAACAAAACGGTGATCTTACAAAGACCGGTGATGTACTTGATTACTAGTGAGCTAGGTGAGGTTCAAGAAGCTACTGTACTCGGTGAGGTTGCGATATAAAACTTGTACAGGTGATTTGCCCGAGATAGACTTGTACGGTGAGAGGCTAAGCCTAAACTGATTCGCGCGTGTTTCGGTGACTTATGACTGATGACCCGAAGGGTCCCGGAGATTTTCGAAGTAGGCCGATGGTCGACCAGAATGTTCTGGAATTTTAGTTGCGTTTCAAACA